CGAAAATTAGCAAACAAACTGAGCTGCCCTCATATCCACACTCAGATACTTCACGCAACATCGTCAGGAAACAAGCATTCCCCCACAGGTATCCCTCTATTACCATTTATGAAACCGTATAGAAGTATTATCCTCTGCGTTGCTAGGGAGATGTATTTTCCTTAGCAACGGTTACCATGGAAACATGATATGGATTTCTGAAGCCCTGAAAATGGACAATTTTCCACCGATAAAAGTATTCTTCACGTTTTACTTATGGTATGCACTACATTTTACTGGGAAAGCAGCCTAGTGCCTCCTTAGCAACGGCCCTAGCAACGGCTTCCCCACAGAAGGCCTGTGGGAATAGAACTTTTAGATACTCATATCTCCAGATTGGATTGATGGATTTTTACGATTTAAAGTTTAAAATGTAGGGAAAAGTGTAACAAATCAGATGAATTCAAGAACTAGGCTCGAAAATGCAATCTGTATATTTGACAGGTTTTGAAAAGTAAACATTCCATTTTTTTTACAAATTTTTACCGAAAAATCGAATTTCAAAAGCTCATAACTTCTCTTAGAAATGACATATTGGAACAAAATTGACATTTTTGTAATCCTTTGTTCCTGTTTTATCTGGCCACTAAGTAACAATGGAAAATATCCATATTTGATTATTTGCCACTCCCCTTTGCATTATAAGTAGGAAAGGAAATGGTCCCCATGGGGTCAAAGTTCAAGGTCAGATAACAAGGTCAAAGCTGGGCACTCAACATGGTTATCATACATTTTCAAAAAGCTTGTGGGGAGGACTATCACATGAAGGCATTCGCGTTTTGTCCCTTGATTTGGTAACAAAATCTTGTCTGGCCCATGGACTAAGGATCAAAATCACTTTTTCCCTTTTTTATATCAGGTAAAAATATAGGTACAGGTACATTGTATTGTAAGGTTGTTTCAAATGGTGACATATTGTGGATCTGATTTCAGATTGAGCAGGCACGTATTGACAAACTCTGGCCCAAGCTGAGGGTTCTCGCTCGCTCATCTCCCACAGACAAGCACACCCTGGTGAAAGGGATCATTGACAGCACCATCAGTGAGAATCGGGAGGTGGTGGCAGTGACGGGCGATGGAACCAATGACGGACCAGCCTTAAAGAAGGCTGATGTTGGCTTTGCCATGGTACGTCAGTCATGGCAACCTAAATCTTTATTTATTTTAGTCCATTGTGTTACAACTCTATTGATTTACATGTAGAAAGTATACACAGGGTGTTTGTAAGAAGAAGTGAGGAATCCTGCCTGTGTGTATGTTAGGAGTGGGTATCTCTTGATGGACCAGATAAAAAAATGGACCGGAAAAAAAGTCAGTGGGCCTAATTTTGGCCCCATTAGAAAATGAACAGTAAAAATATACAGTGGGTCCTGTTCTCCAAGATTCTTTGGTCAAAGTAATATCAATAGATATTCAGCATGCGGTCTTTGTATCTTTTATATGGCGCCACAGAATAGATGAAATGTCATCATATTTTCGAGGTCAATCACATAACAGTTACTGTTCATTTTGCTATGCAATTGAAAAAGGATGATAACTCCGAAAAGTGCCACAGACAGAACACAGTGATTTGAAGCCAGTCTGGGGAGGATGGCAATGCCAAGAACAGTTCAGGCAGGCTCTGCTGCCACAGTCAATTGTATCTGCGGGAAATGCCAGATATTAATTCCTCCACCTCTGTGACCGACTTCAGTGGGACAGAGATGGAGAATGATTTATAGCACTCACAGAAACCTGTACTGGTGTGTCACTCTCCAAAATATGTCATAGTACTTATTACTACAGTAACCACTGTTATAAATATCCGGCACCCACCCATTGGCAAGTAGAGAATGTACATACCTTTCATATGGTGTGCAGGCAATGCATCAAACTTCAATTCAATGGTTTTTCTGTTACGGCAAAACCTTGGGTAACATTACAGCAAAACCTGGGGTAGCATTTACATGTAAGTTCTACATTGTATTGACAGGGCATTGCTGGCACTGACGTTGCCAAGGAGGCATCAGATATCATCCTGACAGATGATAACTTCACCAGTATTGTCAAGGCTGTGCTGTGGGGACGCAATGTCTACGACAGCATCTCTAAATTCCTACAGTTCCAGCTGACTGTCAACGTAGTGGCCGTTATTGTGGCCTTCTTGGGAGCCTGCATTGACAACGTAAGAAAGACAACTTCTGATTCTGCTCATTTGTGAACAAAGTTTTCACACTAGAAATTCATATTCCGAGTACTGGTATTTTGGGTACTCCTTTGTGTTCACAGATTTTCATTAGTTTCGTGAATAATTTTTAATTTTGTTTTGTGATTGCATGAATGAAGTACTTTTTTTTACTGCTATGTGCTGTACATATACACGTACATACCATGATTTCAAGACTAAAGTGTGCACCCCCAATATTTGGGGCTGGTTGCAGACAAATCTGCGGGGCTAAAATGTAAAAAGAGCAGACTTAAAGAAAGTATGGACCTGTTACTGTAATAGTATTATTCTCAATTTTAAACATCACCAAGAAGCTGCCATGCTGGAACTTTTGTCACAGATTTTAGATCTAGCCAGCCTGAATTTTTTTCCATCAGCTCAATTTGCTTAATTAATGAACATGCTGCAGGCATGACAGCCAACAATCCTAGTGGGAAAATTTTGAAATCCTGACCCTCTGAAACACTTTCTCTTGCAATTTGAGGAGGAATTTTTGCAGGTAGACAAAGCTCTTTTGGTGAAAAATTACACAAAACTTTCAGCTTGATTTTGAGGTAAGCTGATAGACCTTAGTTCTATAACTTCAGATTGACACAGAAAAGAAACAGAAGATTCATTAACGCAAAAAATTTGTTGACGTCTCTACTTCAGGACAAATATTTAGGTCAGCAAAAATAGAACATTTTCAACACCAGTGCCATAAGCAGTCTGTACTAAGATTTAATGAGGAATTAGACACCCTGGTTTTTGACATAACGCCCTAAAGACATCCTCTCTTTCCTTCCATGTATTTTTCATCAACTTTCTCTGTACGTGATCACAATTTGCCAATTGAAGCCCTCAAAACAGCCGCTTCGTCCCCTAATTATTTTCATTTCCGATAAAATACTGCTAATTTGCACTCAACTCACATCTATTTAAACTCGATATTTGTTTGTCATTGGTTGATTTTCCATGCAAAAATGTGCATGTTTCTGAATTTTAAAAAACTGAAATCATGGTATTTAGAAGGGAATACAACAAAATTTTTATAGAAACACTGGCATTTCAGAATTTTTCAGCCTCCTTGGTAAGAATACTAGTAATTGACAGTTAACCAGTGAAAAACAAAAGATGAAAACTTCAGAACATTGTGACCAGCCAGAACTTGAGTGGGGAGGGGGGTACATGAAACCTATATACCGGGTACTAGGTTGTTGCCGGGCCCCAGCAAGCAGCCGAAATGATGCTATAATTTTCTGGAGATCTTCCTGGAATGGAAAATTCGAGCTCATTTGACACACTTGCATTTTAGTGCAAATATGCCTAGTGTAAATATGACAGAATGAGTAGAAATTTTGTCCGTCATGAGCAGCAAAAATCTGTCAAATGACAGAAAAACAGATACTGGCTAGAACCCTGATAAGGGCACTCAATGACCAGAAAGAGGAACCCAATTTAGATTGGTATTGCATTGACTGTCAGAAAAGCTCACCCTACATGTATGTCTTCATTCACACCAATCAGGACAGTCCTTTGAAGGCAGTTCAGATGCTGTGGGTCAATCTGATCATGGATTCTTTCGCCTCATTGGCCCTTGCCACTGAGATGCCTACTGAGGAGCTGTTACTACGGAAACCTTATGGGCGTACCAAGCCCCTGATCTCCAGGACCATGTGTAAGAACATCCTGGGCCATGCTGTGTACCAGCTCATCATCATCTTTACCATCCTGTTTGCAGGTATGGATTAGCCAAATTGGTTGATACAGTAGCCTGAGAACAGTATAGAAAAAAAAACAAGAACTCACTATGGTAGAAGACTAGTTCCATTCATTTTGTACATGTAGATGATAGGAATGGAGTAAATACTGCACATACAGAAATTTATCAAAGTATGTGTTGTACAGTAGTCAGAAACAGAGTTGTTGGAAGATTTTGCCAAGGTCAGTCACCAACACGCCATTGTAATACATTGCTGCACAGTTCCAAACGCTGCATTGCTGGACATGTATGGGTGTGACAAGTTGTTTGGTGTGATATATAACCCTTTGCTGCCATGTGCCTGCTACGCTAAAGGACAGTTACAACAGTCGGCCAATCCAGATTCAGAATTATCCAGATAGAGCCAGTTACGCTGAAGTGTGAGGGGCTTGACAGTCACTTAGGTCTAGACTTGAAATTAAAACAACCTGAAGTACTGTAATATACATGTAGCCCCATCAAATGAACCGCCTGACCAGTATGATGTCTTCCATCACCCAGGTGAGTACATTTACGACATCGACAGTGGGCGTGGAGCGGCCCTGCATGCTGCACCCAGCCAGCACTTCACCATCGTCTTCAACACCTTTGTAATGATGCAAATCTTCAACGAGATCAACGCCCGCAAGATCCACAATCAGCGCAATGTCTTCTCTGGCCTCTTCACCAATCCCATCTTCTGCTCTATTGTTGTGGGGACCTTGATTGCTCAGGTATTAGAAATAGGATCAAAGTTCATTCTGTGTTGAAGTGTACATCATGTGTGTACAATAAACAAACTAACAAATGTGCATTGCATTATGAAATAGTTCAACTGTTTTCCAACAGAAGGAAATTGAGCTCAGTCGATTTTTGACAGACCTTCCTCTGGATAACTAACTTAAAGGACCTAATCTCTCGGCATGTGACTTTCCTGAAGTGTGACAGGAGTAACAGGTCAAAGGTGTTGTACATGTATGTACATTGTACATGTGCATGCTCATGTATATCTCCCTATGTGTCCTGGACTACATGTACATGTACCTTTGCTGAAATGAACTGGTGACCTTGAAATACATATAGGTAAACCTCAAATGTACAAAGTACATTAGTGAACTAACCTGCATGTCTCCTAATATCCTAGGTGATGATTATCATATTGTTCACTTACATTTCATTGTGCTCTATTAGTGGTATCTGCTATTCAATTCTAAAAAAGGTTTTCTTCTCTGCCTTCTTAGGTCTTCATCGTTGAGTTTGGTAGTGTTGCTTTCAGCACAACTCATCTGACTGCAGACCAATGGGGATGGTGTGTCTTTCTTGGAATGGGTGAACTTCTGTGGGGCCAGCTGCTTGCATTTATCCCTACCAAGAAGCTGCCACGTAGCCTGACCATCGGTGGCGGTGAGCCTGAGGCAGACATGGTCTCCATTGCAGACATCGACGAGCCCGATGCGATAGAGAGCATGACAGAACTGCGCCGGGGTCAGATCTTGTGGATCCGTGGTCTGAGCAGAATCCAGACTCAGGTATGGCAACTTCTTCACAAGCTCTACAAATGTACCTCAGTAGGTCCTGGATGTGGACAATGTACTGAATGTACAGGCAGTACATCTGGAATAGCTTATTTACAACCACTTGTTTGACAAGAGCCAACATTTCGATGACCGTCTGTCATCTTCGTCAGGGCATTAATGACTGGTTCATTGTGCGCTGAAGATACATGTAGATGTTACGAGTACTGCTAGCAATGCAGTCCATCGAAACGTTGGCTCTTCTCAAACAATTGGTTGTGAATAAAGAATTTTCAATCATTCTCCAACCTGATGAAACTATTTATGTACAAATGCCTTGCAGTTTGGCATCACAGTTCACAATATTTATTACAGATATGTTTGATCCTTGGAAGAGTCTCCCCATGGAAATCAATGTACTACATGGTCAACACAACAAACTTATTATAAGACAGAATTTTCGGGTGTAAGCCTGTACACACTGTAGCTTTCCATCAGCCAGAATGCTTTCTGTGTTTAACTTTATTAGTTGCTTTTTTACCCAATGTGCACTTCTAAGTTCTATGTGTAGATAAATTTGCATGCATCACTTTCATTTTTCTTGTCCTTCCAACTGAATTCTGATGTAATGTGGCATGACATGATCAAGAAGTTTTGCACTTGTTTTGCCAGTGCTGCTAATGCATCATTTCCTTTCAAGTTCACTGCAGATGGTGGCCTGTGTCTGTGACTGAACTCAGAGGGAGTTCATGCATGATGCATTATCCATAGTGATTGACAGTGCATGTTACCTGTAATAAGACAGGGCTAGTATGGCCAGCTGTGTCCTTTCTGCACCAACAAGCTCTAATCTTTGCCTCACTTTACTATCCACCTTGAAATGTGCATATCCCGCAAAAGCGTGCCTTCTCTCACTAACGTCAAGACTCTGAATATTTGGCTTGCTCTTTCCCTTCTAAGAAATTATCCCAAACTGCTCCTCCTGCTACAACCTAAATCCTCCACTAAAATGTGCCAGTTGAATATTTTATTTCCTACCAAGCATTTTGAGATAAACAAACAAGGATTCTGTTACACATGATCATCTGTGATCTTCAACATCCCTGAGAAGTACAAGTGACAGGTTATCTTCACTTGGGTGGCTTCAGGGTCTGCAGTAAGGACATAGCTCACCTCAGTCTGCACGAGCAAGCACTGTGTCCAAACTCCAGGTGTAGTCCAGTTGAAGTGTGCCGTCTTAGCACATGAACTCTACAAGTTTAACAAAGCTTTGCCTTGTCTTACAGATCAGTGCAGTGGACACATGGAGGGATGCCATGGCCAAGACTCGACGAGACACCTTGATCCACGATTTCATGCCTGTCCCCGAAGGGGATTCCAATAAAACTAGCGAGCTAGACCTGACTAGATCTAGCGAGGATAACTCCCCGCCCAAGTCAGACACAGACCATCCTATGCCTGATTCGGAGTCTCCCAAGGCAAACTCGGTCCAGCCTGACCCAGTTGTGTTGGATGTGAAGTCAGATGGTGTTGAAATGGAGTCAGATGCACCCCCTGTTGCAGATTCTGCCCCTGTCGAGTCAAAGTCTCTATCCCCTACATTAGGCAATGCCCCATCCCAAGCTGACTCAGCTACTGTTGAGATAGACTAGTCCCAATCAAATATAGGGCAAGCATACACGTAGTTCTGTCTCGTGGCAGAGGCTTTGTGTTTGTCAATATGTTTGTTTGCTCGTTCGTTTGTTTGTGTTTGTCTTTGTTTACTTATCACCTTGTTTGTCTTTGTTTGTTAGGTACCATCAAAGTAATGCAAAGGTGCGACTGGGGTTCTGGGCAGCACACTCTGACTGTTGGAACCCTGGCTGACAGCAATGATTTTGGCAAAATCAAAAGAGAGAATCACAAAAAGATAAACTTTATTTTATTTTGCAGATCCGTGTTGTGAATACATGGAGAAGCACGCTTTACGAAGGTCTAGACAAGACTAGACGAGACACGTCGATCCACGATTTCATGAGCACTCCAGAGACCCACTCTATCGATTTCATGAATGCCAACGGTGGGGACACGACTGATGGAGGACTTTCTGGGCTCTCATCTGCCAACAACAGGTCCAGCAGATCACTCCATAGTTATGAAACTACCATATAAGATGGAGAATACTTAGCTGCTTGGGACAAGTCATGTTGCATCACCTATGTGGGACCTGGGAAGATCTGGCTTACCTAACAATCTGTGCGTGCTTCTCCATGGTTACACAAATAAATTCATAGCCCTTCTTTCCCAGGTCCCCCTTTCCCCAGTCTACTTATTGTTTTCATTTGTTCATGTTTCGTTCGGTGCATCACTTTCTGCTTTTACCTGATGTTCTTGTTCCAGGGTTTAATAAGTTAAGTTATTGGTTTACTCTCAGTAGTTTAGTGCAGAACTGACCTACATGAATAGATGCAGGGAAAAAACTAGTTCGTAGCTTGATCCTGAATGCATGAGTAGCAATCTTACATAAACAAACCATAGCAGCAAGTTTGATATATCAGGAAGGCTTGCATTAGTCTTCATTACATATTAGCATTTGCTACTTTTTTTATTGGAATTCTGTAGCACGAGGATTATCTGTACATGTGCAATTAGTTTTGGGTTTGGCCCTGTTTTAAGAGCCAGGTGAAGAAAACTTTTTTAAAATCTAAAGTAACAACATGTGTTTGTTCCACTCATGTTTCCATAATGTACTATGAAGCAACTTGTACTTAAACCCTATTATGTACAAGACAGAAGAAAGCATTTCAAGGAAGTACTATGCTCAGCCTATGAATTAAATTTTGTTTCTTTCCTTGTGTAAAAGGCTTCTATTTCGTAAACTGTTTTTGTGTTTCGTTAATCAACCCATTAAGCAAGACAGCATGCAGTTGTTGTCCTTTGTTTTACTCCCAATCAGTGTTTGATGTTACTAACACTGCAGGTAATTAGCTGACCCCGAGGTGTATACTATACAATCTATTCTCCCTTCCTTGCAATACAGCAATGCTGCTTCTAGAAAACAAGCACAACAAATAACACTCAACAAAAATTCAAATGCAACACTTTTTGCTCCCGTTCCCCAGAATAGACGATCAAAGGGTTAGCTATCCTCACTAAAGGCTCATTTCCTTCAAATTTTGTTCAGGAATTTGTTTAAATTCAATTTAGTGGATGAAGGATATCAAAATGATAATTAAACAACACTGGGCAAATGGATTATCTCAAACAAGGGCATATGTCCTTTTGAATGGATTTATACCGACTTGTAAACAAACTATGAGGGGAGTAAGCTATTTACATTGATGGACAAAGCAAAAACAAAATTGTTGCTTTTCTATTTTTGTTGAGTCCATAGAGCACAGCAGGACTAATATTACTGGTATCATGTACATCTACATGTACAGCTATCACCTTCAAATTTAAGAATTGTGCATATGGATATGATGGTGTTCATAAAGACCTGATATAGGTCAAAGTTCTATGGTATTGTGTATAAAAACATTTTCCAAGGTATTCCAGAGGTCCAAATGTTAAGTGTTAGTGATTGACGTAGATGTAGAATTCAGCTGTATATTGGTGACAGTGTCTGTGTTCAATGTAATGTATTGGAGTTTGGGTGGGTGAGTGTCCATAATCTGTGATGACAAAGTTTTTATTTATTTGTTCCCTCTCCTGACTAGTTTTCATACCATTGTCACCTTCAAGTTCATGACTAATGACTGATTCAACATTAGGAACGACTGCTAAGACAGGGCATGGCTGCTCACGTGCAAACCTTGTGATGATGAAAGCTCATGACTTTGCAAATGTGAAAGTTTTCCTTCAAAATGAAGCAATAACTCCTTGCTCGCCAGAAAGTGGTGAAGCTCTCAGTGCTAAAGCTATCAGACCACTACATTCACATTTTCATGGCAGATGTGAATTTGACCATGGTATGTTCAGTCACCAATGAGTTAGTGCTTCATTCAGACTCAGTCTGTGTCATAGAGGAAAATAAACGGATGTCGGTCATTTTGAAAGGGAACGGTTTTGTAGATAGAGTCGTTACCTGCTAAATTCACAGAATACTTTCAGGGCTGCATAGGTGTATGAATAGAACACGTAGATCAGAGCCCATATTTTGCTTTTTAACATGAAGTAGAAATGTTGTAGATGTTATTTTCCCTAGTTGCAGTCTATATTCAGGAAAACAATCCGTTAATACTGTAGATGGTTTTTATGAAATAAACTTTTTAAACCAAAATACCTATGCTTGTTTCTTTGACCATACATGTACCTTCTGATCACAAAGCCAACAACACAAACGCGGATTACCTCATCGTTTGAAAGCAGAAAAGCAGCAGAACAGAACAGGCCTTGCATAGTTCATCTATACAACAGCCGAATATTTCTTTATTTCATTGTTTTCCAAATATGATCATAAAATTAGCTAAAGTCTTTCTCTCTCTCTCTCTCTCTCAGTCTAAAATCATTGTAAAACCTAAAAATGGATTATCTGGAGAACATTGATTGTACGATGGTACACCATCAGGTTCAAGTTCAACTTCACGACCTCATGCTGTCGCCAAATGATGTTAATCTTTGTGACTGACAAATTATAGATTATATTATATTCCCCCTGATTGTGCAAATAGTATCCTCATTTGCATGAATTATGTTAGTAACTGTTGATCATATTCTGCCATTCTAGCATTTCCCCATAAATTATGCAAACACGATCATGATTTGAATAAGTTATGTTTAATGATATTCACTTATACCACAAGTAGAAACTTCCAGGCAGATAACATTATGGAATCATAACATTTTCTTATTAATTATGCCAATTAAGTCTTAAATTACCTGTCACAAGCTTGAATATTCCTATCATGGAATGCAGCTGATTTATAGAATTTCCTCACAAATTATGCAAATTACATCCATTTTTGCATAATTGTCGCATGTCAAACATTCACATAAGCTACATACATACCAAAAATTACCTCGATCCATCAACCTGTTCTTGAGTTATCCTCTTGAATATCTTTAAACAACCGCCCCTGCAGTTCAAGAGCAAGCCGCAAGGAGGCCCAAACTTGCCATTTCTTCCCCAGCACAAGTGCTACTTTCCATCTAAATTTCGTGACTCTAGTATGTCTAGATCACGAGATATCACAACCGGAAGCTGCAGTACCATAACAAGTTGTTATGGAGCCCAAAATCTTAGAATCATTTCAATGCGTCATGAAGACCTACCTACTTCCTCAGTTAACGGTAGTACATAATGTGTATGATGATTTGTGTTCAAATTCACGAACTTTCGTACATTCGTAACGTTACATTCTTGCCACCAACCAGTGATACATATTGTGCAATTGCACTGTTGACAAACCAACGGGATACGTAAGACATTTTCTAAAATCATTTATTGTTATCGCTTCCTCTTACATATTGCTTTCTCTAATTATGTTTCACCCATTTTCTCTCGTTTCTCCTGGCATTTTTCAATTTCTTCATTTTTGGGCTTAAGTGACCTGAAATTAGGTATGGAGGTAAAGTGGTCAAATACCCTTAGGCGTACGCGTGAAGGAGGTATCCCTCCTGCAGGAGTATTGTGGCCAGTCGTTTTTTCGCGTTCGCAGCTAAAACACGGGGTTCCCCTTAATTTTTTTTTAATCGGCATGTAATTTTATCTGTTATTGACAGGATGGTACTGTCAACAAGTACTCAATAGACACTTCCATTAAAAAAAACGCGACCAGAGGTTTGGTCTATTCTGCCCTAATGAGATTGAAGACAACATTTTATTATGGATTGTCCACTATATGATAATAAAACGCACAAAGCTGAATAATGCTTCACGCGGCTCAATGGAAGATGTTACATTTCATTCTATAGATAAATTCAAGTTCATTCTAGAAAGTAATACTGTAACGTTAACCCTAACGGTGTACAAGTTGATTCACATACAAAACACTATACAGTATAGTCTTATACATTATGTATAGTCTTACATTTTACCCATTCTTCTTCACCAGTCTAAATTTTCCCATTCACCATGCAATCCATACCACCCTGTATTTTACGAAGGCCCATAGGTACACTTAGCATTTTTTATTCCACTTTGTATTTTCTATGGGTACTTTGTATTTTCTATGGGTACTTTGTATTTTCTATGGGTACTTTGTATTTTCTATGGGCACTTTGTATTTTCTATGGGCACTTTGTATTTTCTATGGGCACTTTGTATTTTCTATGGGCACTTTGTATTTTCTATGGGCACTTTGTATTTTCTATGGGCACTTTGTATTTTCTATGGGTACTTGTTTTTTTCTGTGTGTACTTCGCGAAGTTTTTTTGGTGGCTGGCGAAGCGACATTCATTTTGCTTTGATGTGGATGCTCCCATTTTTATTATGGCGGTATATTTCTATTTACCATTCTAGGCAACTAAATTTATTTTAAACCTATTAAGAGTCATTGCACGAGAAAACCAGGCAAAACCAGGCAGAGGTCGGAAGATGGGGGTCGGCCAAATCGGCTCATACTTTGTATGTGAGATAGGTATGAGGAACTATTAACAGCCATATAGTTAAAACCCTCCAGGTATTTTTCGTTATGGAGTTCTGGGACACCCCTCTGAGACCCTCAAAAATCTAACAATTTATGGCTGAAAATTACTGAAATTACAATGGACACCACGGTAATTCTGATAATGATATGAACATGGGGTTTCTTTTGTCACATAGCATGGGTCTTCTACTTTTACAAAAAAAAAAATTGAAGATGCAACATTGAAGTTAAAAGGGTATACCAGGGGGTTACCAGAACCAATGAAAACAGAATTTTCATCTTTCTACATTTTAGTCATTTTTAAGTAGCTTTTTCTCCGTGACGCGGCAAA